GTGAGTGAGAGAGCACACCAGCAGGGGGAGGGGGTAGAGAGAGAGGGAGAAGCAGGCTCCCCGCACAGCAGAGAGCCCAATGCAGGACTCAATTCCAAGACCCTGATATCATGACCTGAGCCAAAGGCAGATGCTTAACTGAGCCACCCAGGGGCCCCAGGTCTCATTTTCTAATCGAAGGAGAACATACTTAAACCAGCAGCAATGAGGGCTGTCTTTACGGAGTGATTACCCTGAGCCAGGCAATGTCCTACATTCTTTTCACACATTTCCTTTAATCTTCACAACAATCATGAAAGTGGAAAATCATGACGTCAGCTTTACAAAACGAAGATTCTGAGGCTCAAAGACGGTAAGTGAGGCTCTCACAGAAGCGGGGGCTCCAGGGCTCCCACCCAGGTCTCAGTGTCCTGGAGCCTGGAGGGCATCGGTTTGGCCACACCAGCTCTCAACAGACGCCCCTCGTCAGAGTGGTGTGGGCTCCTCGCTCTTGATGGAGAACTATGCTCTGCAGAAAGCAGAAACCAGAAGAGTGCGTGGGAGCCTTTCAGGCTCAGTGTGCCCCCGACAACCACCCACTGTAGCCTCAAGTGGCTCCTGAGGGTGAAAACTCAGCAACAGACAGCAAAGGCCAAAGCAGAAGCCTCCAGCAAGAGAGCTTACACCTCCTTTGACAGCCTCATACGTAGCGGTAGCGCAAGCTCCACTTGTAAAAAGCCCTTAGGAGCTTTTCCTACCGAGTGGAAACACAGAAATGTCTCCTCACAATTTAGAAAGAAGACAAACCAGTCTACTCATGCAGACATCCCCTTGAACCAAACGGGCATGGGTAGCACAAGGCTGAGCAGAAATGATATCCCCACTCACCAGGAAGCTCCCTCTCCCAGTTACCCATTAATTAAATATCCATTTATTAAGGACAGACTGTTCTCCGGGCACTAGAGAAACAACACTCAAAAATGAAGCCCTTTCCAGACTCCTGACTATTTCTCATGAGCCCCTGGATCACGAGGTGTGGGAGCCCCCACATCAAACTCACTTAGGGCTCATCACAAAGCAGATTAAAAGCCCCCACGCCTGGCCAACAGCATCAACATCTCTGCAGCTGGGCTGGAACTGGGCATTTTTCACAAGCTCCCTGGGTGATTCTTGGGCACACTCCAGGTCAAGTCAGACCACTGGTTTAAGTTAACACTCAGTGGCAACACAAGGTGACAAGTGGAAGAATACTCGAGGTTTTAGGAGAACACAAGACAGCGATACCTTACCCAACTTCCAGAAATAACCTTTTAGTGAAATAGTAGCCACCCAGGGTAAAAAGGAGCAGAGTTTTCTGAACAAAGGTAACATGCTATGGGAAAGGGGCAGGGTATGTGACGCTCAATGAACATGGGAGAAGATCAGAAGAAACCCAAATGACAATCACTGCTTAAGTCCTCACTGCATGTGCAAATACATTTCTAATTCTTGTGCCAACTTCTGATGTGATCAAGAAACACCACCTGACGTCAACACAGCCGCCAGGCTCTCCCTCCAACTTCAGCAGCTGCAGGGTGATCAAGGGCTGGGATTCTAACTCTTTCTGTGAGGCAATGCCAGGAGGCCCACAATTTGGCCAACTGTTTAAAAATACAATCTTGAGGGGCGCCTGGGTGGCTCAGTCGTTAAGCATCTGCCTTCAGCTCAGGTCATGATCCCAGGTCCTGGGATCGAGCCCCACATCGGGCTCCCTGCTCTGCGGGAAGCCTGCTTCTCCCTCTCCCCACTCCTCCTGCTTGTGTTCCCTCTCTCTCTCTCTCTCTCTCTGTGTGTCAAAATAAATAAAATCTTTAAAAAAAAAAAAAAGTACAGTCTTGAGAGTAAGGGAGGCCTGGGTTTATGTCCTGGTCTCGTGGACTGGCAAATCACTTAATTTCCATGAACTCAATATCTGCATTTGTAAAACCAGAATCATCACCAAGAGTGACACAAGGAAACATCATGTACCTCCTGATACAAGGCCCCGAGAAGGTCACAATGTCATCTCTCTGGCATTTCACCCCAAAATGCAAAATCTGGGGGGAAAGCACCAGAGAAATCCAAACTGAAGGACATCCCACAAAGCTGTCCTATACACTATAAAATTATCAAGGTCACAAAAGATAAAGAAAGACTAAGGAAACATTCCAGATCAATAGAGACAAGAGGAACAGGACAATAAATGTAATAATACATGATCCCGGAGCGGTATTGGACTGGGGAAAACACCTATAAAGGACCTTATTGGGACAACTGATGAATCTTGACTATGGGCTATGGACTCAGAGTTAGATGATAGTTTTGAACTAACGTTCAATTTCCTGGCTTTTATAAAGAGACAATGGTTATGTAAGAGAATGATTTCGTTCTTAGGCAAGACACAACGAGTACTTAGGGGCAAAGGGGGGTGATACCTCTAAATCACCCTTGGATGGTTCAGAAAAAAAGATATATATTAAAAAGAGAGGAAATAGAGAAAACAATAAAGCATATGAAGCAAAACATTAATAATTAAAGAAGCTGGATAAAAGGTAGCCAGAAGTTCTTTGCCATTTCTCTCTTTGAAATTGTACTGAAATAAAGTTACTCTTCAAAACTATCAGGCCATGAAATAATAAGGAAAGACTGAGAAACTATCAAAGGCTGGAGGAGACCAAGGAACCATGACAACTATATTACAGTGCGGCTGGCAATCCTGGATTAGATCTTGGAACAGAAAAAGGATATTAGTGGAAAAACTGCTGACATCCAAATAAAGTTTGAAGTTTAGTTACCTAGGTCACATGCCATTGTTAATTTCTTAGTTTGGGGAAATGTACCAGTTACATTAAGATGTTAACATTAGGGAAAACTGACTGAAGGGTATATGGAAACTCTCAATAAAATCCTTGCAATTTTTCTGTAAATCTAAAATTGTTCCAAAATATAAAAGATAAGTTTTAAAAAGTAACAAGACACACACACAGCAAAGGCCATCGCCAAAGGCAAGAACAGGACTCCACAAACCCTTAAGAATGTCTATCAGGAGCTGCTGTTTTACAGCAGAGGTTCCCAAACACCAGGGGCCATGGCAGAATGAAAAGGAAGTCATTTACTAAACCACTGACTTAGCATCTCTTGGCAGAGGGTCCCCAAGAACATTTCAACAAGTGCCCCAGGTGATTCTGATGAGACTCAGACTTGGGCACCAGGTATCCAACTCAGCACTTCTCAGACTTAACTACATACAGGAGTCCCCTGGGGATCTAGCTAACATGCAAATTCTGGGTCAGGAGGTCTCGGGTGGGGTCTGAGACTCTGCATTTCCAGGGAGCTCCCAGGCGAAGTCCAAGCAACTGTCCTCAGCCACACAGATGGAGAAGGCAAAGCAACAAGACAGAAGGGGCCTGGGTCCATGACACTGGAGCATCACGCCAGGGCAGGACTGCCCATGTGGGTATGAGAGGCCAACTTCTCTTTGAAGCCGTTGGTTCTCTCGGTTGTAGCCAAACCTAATCCTAACTATATTGAGTTTGCACCAAGTAGTCCCAGACATATTTTAAAATTCAACTCATATCCTCTCTCGAACAGCACATGAAAAAGGACAAACATCTGTTACCTGACACAAATGTAGATAAAACCACTGGGTGGGCTTCTCCATCTGCACGGGTTGCTTCTAGAGCTTCACAAAAACAACCTCAGAGAGCAGTTAAAATGACCATGATGAGCTGGACTGATGACAACTTTTTTGACCACAATCCTAAAATTTTACCCTTTCTCACATTCACCCTCAAGCTCAACTAGTTCTGATTTGACCTTTATAATTTATTTTGAGTCTTTTGGATCCACACAATGCCATACAACTCTTGCAGTATTCTTCAACCAGATAATAAAATCTGACCGGGGGCAAAAAAGTATAGATCATAATCATAAAATAGTATTGAGAACATAAATAAAAACTGGAGTTGCCATGGTACCCTAATTTTGAAAATGTCGAAAGCCATCTAGAATCCTATGTTATTTGCTTTATGAAACCCAAAGTGTACATTAAGTCTCAACCTTTTTTTTTTTTTTCCCTTAAATCATCTGCTCTGGAATGACATAAGTAACCTTCCTGAGATAACCTGTAATCAAATCCAATCAAAGCTACACCAAAACACTGTCAAGATTCAAGCTAAAGGATGCCTTTAAAGGTAAGGCCATTTAAAACATCTTCTGGATATGTTTTTTAATTTTTTAAAGATTTTTAAAATTTATTTGAAAGAGAGAGAGAGCACAAGCAGGGCGAGCGGCAGGCAGAGGGAGAGGGAGAGGCAGGCTCACCAAGCAGGGAGCCTGATGCAGGGCTCGATCCCAGGACCTTCGGGATGATGACCTGAGCCGAAGGCAGACGCTTAACTGACTGAGCCACCCAGGCCCCCCTGGATATATTTTCATTCAGTAAATATCCATGGAGATTTATTACATGCCAGACAATACACAAGACACACAGTGCATTTTACACTAATAATAAAATTATAATTGGCTGGGATGCAAGACTGAGTCCTTCTATACCAAAATAATAATCTCATTATTAAGCTGTTAATATAATGCACTTGTTGGCTTCTGCAAAGATCGAAGGGGAAAGTGAGTCAAAAAATTAAGTTTTGTATTGCCTATAATAAAACAATCTGCACAAATTCATGAGCCCCTGCCAGGCAGGGCTGGGACAGCCTCCACTGTGTCCACTGCCCAGAACCCTGTCCACTAGGCCCTCCCGCCTCTCTCACAGCCTCAGACACAAACCCTGTATTGACGCAATCCAAGCCGACGTTGAACGAGTATAAAAACCCCATCCATCGCCACTGTATGTGGTACAGAAATCAAACTACACTGCAACTATTATTGCACAGATTTTTCAACACAGCCGGGTGGGGGGTTGGAGAGCTATCCAAAGTCTGTGAAAATGCCAAAACAGAAAGAAGACTGAAGATAACCCCCACGCTGCTGCCGGCATTACTGACCTGATCGATTTCCATGAGTTTGGGGTAGGCGCCCGGCCATTCTATGGCCACCTTGACGATGTCCGCGGGCGGAGGCATGGTAAACCCCGACAGTCCGAAGCTGGTAGAAGCGGGATCCTACGGTGCAGACGGCCGCACGTGTCTACACCTAATGAGGAATGACAAAAAGAAAGAAAAGTTGCTCGGTGCCGATGCAGGGCGAATTCTGCTTCATCACTTCCTGTTTTCACTGGTGGTTTTAGGTATGAGAAACGGCTCTGGGTGCAGAACACAGGGCACCAACTGCACCACCAGCCGCTCCCGAGGAGAGAAGACAGATGAGGGGAAAGTGCCGACGCCCTGGAGTCAAAGCCTCCAGCAGACGCGGCCCCATCGAGGGATGGTGTGTCCCTTACCACCGGCTTCGGCTCCACACGGTGCCCAGGGTCGGAACGAGCCGGGCTCACTCTGTCCTGAGACACATGTAAACTTCTTGCGCTCAACAGTCTCCGGAAGAACAGATTGCCCAGGAAGTCATGGTCAGGAAGCAGCATTTCTTTAAAGTGTTTTCTGTGTGTCACAAATAGAGCTCTGCGCTATAGCAACCAGGATATCGTGAGGAAGGAGAAATGCCCCGAGGTTCGCACACATGCACACGCACGCTCCCTCCCCAAGGCCACAGTTCACACACGGCGCCTTCGGGGCGGGGGAGCCCATTGACTGATGCGGATGGTGCGGCATTCAGAACGGACCTTGAATCAATTGTGTTGCTTTCACAAAGGAAGATCATCCTCCGCCGCCTCTCCCAGATGAGCCCGTGCGTGTCTCTAGGATGACTTTTTTAACTTAGTATTTTTGAACGGGTGAGACATTTCATGTGATTCAAAACTTAAAGGTGTGTGTGAAAATATAGCGTAGAATCTCCCTCCTCCTAAAGTTACACATCCACCCGTTGTCCACTTTTACCCCTATTTCTCCATCTATCCCATTCTTGTGTGCCCCTCCAGAATGGCTTCATGTATATAAGGCAAACGCAAAAATATATTACATTTCCCCCTTTCTTTAGAAAAACAGAGGTGGCATGCCATACCCTTTTTTTTTTCCATTTTGTGTATTTATATATTAATGCAAATAAAGCATCCTGGCTCCTTTTACAGCTGCATAGTTGTTCTCTATATGGGAACATCCTATCTGATGAGCTCGTTCTCTGTCACCTCGGCCCCCAGGTGATTTCCTACTTTCGGCTATTGTCAATGAGGCTGTGGTGAAGAGCCTTATGCTCGCATCATTTTGCACATGGGCAGGTATATCCTTACCATAGATGCACAGAAGTGAAATCGGTGGGTCAAAGGACACAGGCAGTTTTATTTTATTCTATGTTTTTAAAGACCTATTTATGGATTTGAGGGGAGGGGCAGAGGGAGACAGAGACTCTTAAGCAGACTCCGCATTGAGGGCAGAGCCCAACTCTGGGCTTGATCTCACAACCCATGAGATCATGACCTGAGCCAAAACCAAGAGTCCGCTGCTTAACTGACTCAGCCACACAGGTGTCCCGATCATATGCAATTTTAAATTTTGATAGCCATTTCCAGACATCGCTCCATAGGCATTGCACCAATCTACACTCCCTCCAGTAATGGATGAGGCTGCCTATCTCCACACAGCCTCACCAACAGACTGAACATCTGCACACTGGATGCACTGAAGAAATATATCACATGTACTTTTTTTTTTTTTAAAGATTTTGTTTATTTATTTGAGAGAGTGAGAGAGAACATGAGAGGGGAAAGGGTCAGAGGGAGAAGCAGACTCCCCGCTGAGCAGGGAGCCCGATGCAGGACTCAATCCCGGGGCTCCGGGATCATTACCTGAGCCGAAGGCAGTCGCTTAACCAACTGAGCCACCCAGGCATCCCAAAAGGCAGTCACGTGTACTTTTAATGTGTATTTAATATGTATTTCTCTTATTGTGAATGAGGTTGAACATAAGGAGGCAAAGTCCCATGTCCACTTTCCTGTGAACTGTCCAAATCTTTTGTCCCTTTTCTATTGGGTTCTTGGTCCTTTCTTTTCAGAAATTGATGTGTGTATGCAGATTTTGATCAAACACATGCCTTTGGCTCTTTATCAGACCAGAGTAGGCCTTGTCAGTTACTATCCCCATCTCAGTGGTAGCTGGACATCACTGAGATGATGAAGATAGCAGACTTACTAATGGCCACCCGGACAGCACTGGCAGTTAGAGAAATAACTAACTCCACCAAGCTGACAAGTACCAGAAATGAACCCAAACAAAACTGCTGCTCCTTTGGCCAAGGATGATGAGGGAAGCCTGCTGGGAGGCTAATCAGTGCTAACCGGCAAAAGCAAATCTACAAAGCAGTGGTTCACTCATTCAACAAACAATTATTGAGCCCCACTATTCTGTGCCAGGCCTGTTCTCAGTGCTGGGGATACAGCAGCAAATCTAGATGTTAGACAGCTCAAGGGATACAGAGCAAAATGCAGCAGGGAAGGAGCATCTGAAGGGTGTGAACGTATCTGCGTGAGAGCGGCCGAAGTACAATGGTAAATAGGTAAATCTGGGAAAGCTCCACTGAGAAGGCAGCATTTGAGCAGAGGCTCGTGAGATGTGAGGATGTGAGCCAGGAGGACATCTGGAGAAATTATGTTAAAGGCCAAGGAAACGGCCAGTGCAAAGGCCCTGAGGCAGAAGCAGGCCTGGCATATTCCTAAAAGAGGCAAGTGGCTGAAACCAAATAAGGGCAAAAGTAGTTCCAATAGCAGTTGGGTCATAACTTGGGAGGGTCATTCACCATTCTCTTGACTCCCTAGACGCTCTTGGTTTATGACTCCTAAAGAAGAAAGCTCATGTCCCTGCTCAGAGTATAAATTGGTACAACTTTCCAGAGGTACTTTTGGCAAACTGTACCAAAAGCCTTACGATTTCGTATTCTCTAAGTTATTTTATTTTTCTAGGATATTTCCTCAAGAGATAATTATTCACTTAACTATAACAATGACAATTGCTGTTTTGGTTATGACCCCCAAAACTTAAAAACAACTGAATATTCTACAACAGGGACTTGTTAAATAATTATGAAGTCTCATATATGCAAATACAAGTAGACGATCTGTACTGGGGTCTTCTTCTTCACAGTCTGTATGCTCTTTTATTCACTTGAGAATTCTACAGACAATGTATTATGTCTATACCACATCACTTCAATTCAGGATCCATATCAGTTATATACCCTAGAATAAGAATTAAGAAAACAGGTTCTAATGTGAAAATAGACTGTGTAAATATTAGGTAACTCTATTCAAACAAAGAACACACAATTTTGAGGGTCAAGAGAATACGTAATGAAAATTAAAATGCATTTTGAACCTCTTCTTCCCTCCTCTGCACAAAATAGTCTAGAATTACACTAAAAGGGGTCATCTAACCACCCAGGAATCAACAACCAAAGGTGATTTTCTTCCCCTTTAACCAGTATTTATTTCTCAAAGACTGTTGAGACCAAACCTGTTGAACAGGTGAGAATACAATGATGTGACTCTCCCTGAGTCCCTGTGGAGAATAAGAGAGCAGCAGTGTACAAAGGAGCCATTGAGAAAGCCAAGAGGCTAGGGGGAGTCCCCTGGGAATTCACTTGACAAGTCCAATTAGACCTCATCAGCGTTGCCCACAACAACAAACAGCACAGATGGGGCTCCCGTGGGGTAGAGTCAGGTGCACAATCGCTGAATGAATAATCCAATCACATCGTTATCCTCAGAAGTCCACATCTTATCCTCTTGAATTTATATTTGCATGAGGAACAGTTAATTCTAGCTCATCAGAGCCAGCAGCAGTAAAACTGAGCCTAATGTTGTCAAAATTGCCCAGTAAATATAAGGCATGTAAATCTGTGTAAACAGCCTGATATAATAATTCTTATGCAAACTAAAATTTAAGAGCCTCTAAAGGGAAGTCTCTGCAGCTGGCTAGACACTCCAACCATTCTGTCTTGTAAGGTAACTCTCAAGTCCCTGGAGGCAACTGGGAAAGGGGTGGAGAATTCTACAATGTCCCTGCTTGCCTGCTGATTGATTTACTTTATTCCCATTTTAACATGAAGATTCTACAACCTTAATATGCATGTCAAATGGCTTATTTATAGTTGAGTGAATTTAATGAGGGATGGAGGAGTCGCTTTTTATTTGGGAGTTAGTTACTCAAGTCTGCGTGTCAGTTAGATGTGACTCCATAACCCTTGAGCAAGTGGAAATTTTCTTTATCACTCTGTTGAATGTCTCCTTCTTAGCCTTGGGCCACGTTTCCAAGACAACGGAGAGAAACCGTTCTTGATTCCATCTAGAAATCTGTCTGTCTCTAGACATTGTTCTTTGCCCAAAGTTCTACACGCCTCTGAGTTTGAAGCTCACCTCTCTGTAGTGTCTTAAAGATCTGTTACATCTCTACATGTTTTCCAGTCTATCTGATTAGGTCTTGGGAAGAATAAAGTTCCCAAATATCCGATCTTCACCCCCCTCCAATTTCCCATATAGTTTTCACTTTCGGTCCCTGTAATGGCTTTAAAACCTTGTATCTTATTTCTAGTCTTTCTGTTACACCAGCAAACTCTATTAAGAGAGAGAGAGAAAAAAATCAGCCTAAGAGGACATTCCTATAGGAGCTGTGTAATGGAAAAACTAACACACTTGCCCTGGTGAACTGTGTGCCCCCACCATTGCACTGAAAGAGCCTGACAGATGGACCAGTAGAAGCCAAAAGGCAGATCAATGGGAAAGAAACACCAAACAGCTGGATAAATGACTTGCTTCAACTCCTCTGTCCCTTCCTTCCTCCCCAGGAAAACTGTCCTCTGCCCCACTGGCCATCATTATCTACTGGTGACAAATTATGTAAAGATTATGGAAATAGTGGGGTTAGCGAATTTGAATAACTTCCCCCCAATATTTACATATTCCAGAGGGTGGAGGCCCCTCTCACATGATTATGGGCTACTGTGTTCCCCTGAAAATGTTGAGGTCCTAACCCCCGGTACCTAAGAATATGACTGTATTTGGAGATAAGGCCTCTAAAGAAGTAATTAAGTTAAAATGAGTTCATTAGCATGGGCTGTATTCCTATCTGACTGTCCTTATAAGAGGAGGAAATTTGGACACAGGTACAGAGGGACAACCATCTGAGGACACAGTAAGAACAAGACATCTACAAGCCAGGGAGAGAGGCTTCAGAAGGAACCAACCCTGCCAACACGCTGATCTCAGACTTCCAGCCCCGAGAACTGGGAGACAATACGTTTCTCTTACTGAACTCTTCCAGGCCGTGGTGCTTTGTTATGGCAGCCCTAGCAAAGCAATGTAACATTGAAGACAGAAAGCATAAAGAAGAGGCTGATGATCTGACACAAAGACGCTTAAAATCTTGCCATTCCAAAAAGCACCATAAAAATTTAAAAACAAATAATAAACAATCAAGAAAATAGTTGCA